AAAAAAAAAAAACACACATCATGGTAAAATCAATAGGTACATTCATCGCTACGCACAGAATCTAAAATGTCAAGTATTTATGATTATTCGATTTTGAGTAACACCAAAATTGATATTATTAAAGATTGATTTTGTGTAAAAATTCTCATTTTTCTTTATGCTTTTGAAAATGTTCAATTAGTAAACTGAAGCAATATTTTGATATAGCAATACCTATATATTATGTATATTTTTCGAATTAGCTGCAATATCTCAATTATACTTATCGTATACATTCACTCGACGAATAAAACACATTATTGTAAAATCAGAACATTCATCGCTCCGCTCAGAATCTAAAATAGGTATTACAAAATTATACGTTTAATGAGTATGAGAACAAATTACAATAATGTAATATAAACATATTTGTAATTTCTTAATATAGTCTATATTCCTGTTAGAAAAAAAGAAGGTAAATGTACCTTCCTATATTGAAATTTATTTTGATTTCAACTAAAGCATATAATATGTGTGACGTAGAAATTTAACAGTTACAAATATTTATACATATTTTAATTATTTAAAAGATTTTATTATTSAATGATTTATTATTTAAGAAACTACATAAAAATCACCCGGCTTCGACTTAAGTACCGTTGAAGTCGCTAGGTTCCCACCGAAAAAAGCTATTATATTTTTAACCCATTTATTTTATTTAATCTTACGTCTTTCATACTTTTCTTTCCTATAGAAATTGTCCAACATAATTTTAATTCCCAAACCTGACAAACCAGTGGACTTTCCTTCATAATACAGGCCAATAAGCCTATTGCCATTTCTAGCAAAAGTATTATTAAGACTAATACTCAAAAGGCTTTTACGCTACATCGTCACGAATAAGATCCTAACCAAACTCTCAATTTGGCTTTCGCTCGGCGCATAAATACATCAAGTATACAGGTTAGTTGACACAATCTCATTTTACCTAGAAAAGAAATATTACTGCATTTCTCAATATAAGCCAAGCGTTTGATAGAGTTTGGTATGAAGGCCTTTTCTTCAAATCAGAAAAAATTCTTTCCCCCTCCTTATACTTACTGCTTAAGTCTTATCTTACAAACCGTCATTTCCAAATCTGGTTTGGATCTTCTGTCTTGGAAATTGAAAAAATTTTCACTAGTGTCTCTCAGGATGGAATCCTCTCACCCCTTTTATTCAATATTTATACATCAGACCAGCCTGTCTCTCAAAATACTATAGTAGCCCGTTACGCGGATAACAAAGCTATAATCTCAATTGACAAAAATCCCCAAATTGCATCTTCAAACCTTCAAATTCATCTGAATTTAAATGTCAGAATGGTACATGAAATGACGAATCAAACCAAATTCAAATAAGTCAGGTCATACAACGTTCACTTTATGTCACTCCTCCTTCTGTCCAAATGTCTTTTTAAATAATGTTCCTATTCCAACGTCTAACACAGTCAAATACCTAGGACTCAATTTGGATAAACGCCTTACTTGGAACGCACACATCCGTATCAAAAGACTAGCCTTAAATGCCCGATTCCACAGTCTACGTCCCTTGATTACAAATAATAAACCCTCTAAACTAAAAGTTAAAGTTCTTATGCATAAAACACTTCTAAAACCAATGTGGACCTACGGTCTTCAATTGTGGGGTATCTACTGCTAAAGTATTTAATGCGTAACATTAGATTGTCAGATTTCGTGCGTTTAATTATTTCTTGTGCACGATAATAGTTAATATTTTATGATTTCGTTAAGTTGTTATAAATAATAATATAAACGTATATTAAAGAGTTAGACTAAGTTATCTGAAAATCAGACCATCACCATTTATTATTCACTCATAAACTTTTTTTTCCGATCGATTGATGTATTTACTTTTTGATACAATAAATCTTTCAAATCCAAAAACTATTTTGTTTTAAACAAAAGTCTAATGAATACAAACTTTTCTAATTTCATATACATATACAAACAAGTTTATACAAATATAACATTTATTCAGCAACATCACGGACAATTTGGGATACGTAATGAAATATATTAAAGTGAAACTCTCAAGGCTTCTCTCAAGCATTAATTTATCATTTTGCTTTTCCAACAATTTTCGTACAGAAAAAAAGTACCTAAATGGTTTCTGTTGTTACGGTATTGACCATGTAATTCAAAAAGTTCACGCTACTTTCGTGCATACAACGGTCGTTTTCAATACAAAATGTATAAATAAAAACATATGTGTAAAATATGATATTATATCATATCAGACTGAAAATCCCCGATCAAAAAACTTACAACTTATAATTCAAAACTCACCTGTACAGTTAGGGCATACGTGACCACCATAATGATCATCGGTATGTAAAACGCGACCAGTGAACCAAAGACGAAAAAAGCTCGATTGTTGATTACGCAAACCCCTGGATCCGGCATAATGTTCTTAGCATTAGATAAACCTGTAAAAGATAATATGAAATACAAAATTCAAGTCACAATGTATGTTAAAGACTTTCAATCCTTTTTTCCTGTTACCTACTCAATACAAAAGTAAACTATTTATACCACAGTATTCAATACATGAATAATAGTATTTTCAAAATATAATTTGCAATAACAGTATACAGTCACATGTGAGATTTAAGCCTTGAGTTTATTGATTGATTTTAATACTTTGAAAATCATTGGTAAGTATTTGAAGAACTTAAATGTACATTGAGTAAAATGATTTAAATATTTATTAATATTTATTTTTTGATTTAAACCTTCATAATCGTTATCAAATAAGTTATTATTAATAATAATGCCTGCACGTACTTTGTTAATAACTCTCAATAATAGAAAACAAAAACAATTAATACAAACAAGTGAATCAACCAATATATTTTGTATGCATATAAAATTAGTGTGTATCATATTATAGTTTCTATTGGAGGGTAATTCTACAAAAAGTAAGAATGATTTTAAAAACAGCTAAATGTAAATGATGGAATAATAAATTACAATAGATTTACTGTGTATAAAGTATGACTACAAATAATTAAAATACTTAAGTTTGAAATAAGCCTAATAGTAATACAAAATAAAATACTTATCACCATAGTCACAGTTCAAAAATAAGACATAATTTTAAATTTAAAAAAAAAATAAGTATATAAATTTAAAATGATAGTTTGGTATGCAAATTATTGTTATAAGTAAATATTTTTTTGTCATGTTTGTTGGAAGATTTAAGCTTATAGTTTTAAATCCAACGTTATTTGCGTTACGAATAAGGTGGGTATATACGAGGGACGGTAAAGAGGGTAGAATTTGGATCACATCAACGTTTTGTTTTAACAGTTTCCTTAAATAAATTGTTTTTGCATTTTTATGAGTTATTTTAATATACAAACTTTTTTATACGTTGGTATAGACAAAAAAAATTACCATACAACAACATTCAATAACATCAAGGAAATAAGGAATATTAAGTATAAAAATATTTAATAGAATTATATTGTCATTCATTACATTTTTAATTGTTATTTATCATACGATATCTAATAAGTAATAATTTCCCATTGATTATTAATTAAATAAATTAAACTTTTTTTACATATTGGGATAATTTACGGTTATATATCGAACATCACAATATTATACTATATAGCTCAAAAATATTTTTAATATGGAACTCATTGATGTACCAGTGATTCATGGCATACACAAAAAAGCATCATGTTCTTGCGTTTTCCTTTAAAAATCGTTTGAAATTTTCCAATTGTGACACACTCAATAAAATAAATAACCTCTGTTCGTATCCGATCGATTGATAGCCGTTCCATTTTCTTTTCATTCTTTGATCCACGCTCGTCACGGGTTCCCACTCGCTCACTCGGGCGCACACCGACACACATTATTTCCGGAAAAAAAATACATCAAGTCGAACACCCCTCGAGGCTTCGATGCAACAACTTGTTGTTAACTCACGTCTCACACAAACGCACGTCCACAAGACAGATTCGATGAGATGTGATTGTTTTTTTTTATTTTCCTTTCCTTTCCCTTTCCAGTACCAAGGCAATGCCATACTTCAGCCACACACACTCCAACAAAATAACCTATGATGATATAAATCCAATAAACGACTAGTGGCAATGATGATGGGTGTCAAGGATAGTGCTGAACGCTTGATTAAGGGATAGAACACCTGTAGAATGCCATTATAGGTAATAATAAGGTAATAATAATAGTCATATAGTCATAATAATTAATCCGAAGTTTTAAGGATAATGTAAATTATAAAACAGCAAAAATGACACAAAATGGTATAGTTCAACTACGATCTGGTACAATATTATTATGTTATACGCCAAACGAATGAAAACATCGTTTTCCTCTTTATGTTATCATAATATCATGACGTGTTATACCTACTAACTAATATCAATACTATTGCGCAGTATGTGTGTATATGAGAAAAGAAGGATTTTTCGTGCAGCTACCAAGTCCACCGCGTCGTTTCACCTTTGACTGGTCCGCCCCTATATATTATTAAAATCGTAGTGCCCATCTCTTTCCATCCCTCACCTTTTACCCTCAAAGCCCGTCGACGCACGTTCATAATTTATTATTCAAGGCGGACCGTGAGAAAAAGACAGGTGCTCGTTTGTTGTCTTTATAACCAGCTCGCCCGGTATACGCGTAGTTATATTATATTATATACCTACCTACTGCTAGACAATATAAGTATAATGTACGTTGAGAGGAGAGAAATAGAGAGAGGGAGACACAGAGAAAAGAGCTAAAATAGACTACGTGAATGTGTATTGTATTTATGTGTATGAGTGTGCGTGGCGTGGAAATATTATTACGATGGCCGTGAAGGGACGGGGAAAAACTTACCATACCGTTCGTCATTGTATATACGCAAGCCTCGAAGTAATTCAAAGGGTTGTAGGTATACACTTTTATATAAGATAAGACAAATGCATCCACGGGTAGGAGCTGAGAACTGGTGACATACCTTTATCTATCAGGGACGAGCGAAATTTGTTTTTATTTCCGTGATGCTTCGATGTCACTCGACAGGAATCGTCTAATTATCCACACGACACTCAAAACTTTTGATATATATTATAGGTACTATAATAGTGCATAGAGTGTCATTTCTTTACTCGCGATGATAGTCCATCCAACTGTTTGACGACCATATATTATATCTTTTGTTTTATTACCATCAGATTTTTACTATTATTATTTGTTTTGATTTTTTTTTTTACTTAATTTAGCATAGTATTATTGAAGAATTATGAACGGTTTATTCGATACTTAGTAAAATTGATATACATATCGATTATTTAAAACGGTATAATTTAGAAACAAATTGTAATAGGATATTATGTTTGACCAAACTAGATRGAACCAACATCGTATATTCAACTGTATTTATATATTGTCAATTTATAAACATTTTTGTAATGAATCAACTTGTTATTATAATATATAGTATGTAAAAATCTATTATTACTTCGTTTAAATATTTTAAATTTTATATTAAAATTTCCAAGGACAATACAAATTACAATAACAAAATACCCCATTTCCAAAATTACATTGTTTTAATATTCATCGTATTTTAAGTATATGGTATGGAAACTACGGCTGAACATGAAATTTATTTAATTTAAAAGTGCGTTAAATATAACTTTTCTAAAAAAAATATGCATACTTCGATTCAAAATATAAATTATTCATGTTACTCAGGTTATAGGGTAATTAAACTAAAATCAGTACCTAAAGCTTTCATAGTTAAACCCAAATAATTTGTTAAAATTATAATTTAGTCGAATACGTGGTGTATACTTACATATTTATAAAATTTAAGAGAGGTGCGTAAAATATTACACAATAATATTTTATTCTCTAGAGTCTAGATGGTATTTTATTATGCATARTTTGTTTAAACGTATTTATTATAAAATATACAGAAGACATCTGAAAATAACTGGAGTGTATAATATGTTATAAGATCAAACTTAGAGGGCTATTAACTGAATTATTTATTAGTGTAAAAAGAATTGAAAGAAACTCTAGATAGTCGAGAGTCAGTTAAAATAAGTTTTTAAGTAAGTTCAAAAAATTTAGTATTAACTATTTTTAGTGAATACATAGAACACATATTAGGTACCTTTTAGTACATTAAAAAAAATTCCAAGTTCAATTTTTTTGTGTACTAGTGATTATATATTTTTTTATTAATATTTCAGGTTATAAAATACATTTGAATTGATTTGTATTAAAAATGTTAATTTACAACATTAAATACTAATTAATAACCAAATAAAAATTAAAATCAACTAAAATCAACTAAAATCAACTATAATTTAATGAAATTTGAGTATCTTTTCTTATTTATTCAAATAAATCATGTTTTTTATATTTTCATCATTAATAGGTATGAGATAAACAAAAAACGCATAACCCACCAAATTGAATTCGTATTAGTACAAAATTGAAAATGGAACATAAAATAAAAACTTCCTAAAACCATTAAAATTATAGAAAACAATATTGTATTTGAAATCTTTAAAATATAAATAAAATGTATACTTTAGATATAGAGCTATTCTTATGTTTATTCTATACTAACTATAAAATTTTATAAAACCCTATCCCTGATTATTATATATCTATATACATTGCAACACTTTATTAATTTTTCAAAAACAAAATGTTAAAAAATCAGACAAAGTGTTCATATCAATTATCATTTATAGAATAGGTTAGGTACAAAATTATTTTCAAAAGAAAAAAATGCCTAAAACACAAAAAAAAAATGTTCATTTAGCAGACCTTAGTAAAGTTTGTTTTAAATAAAAATAGTGAACCAATCAGTAAAAAGGTTCACATACGGTATTGTAATATTATCTTGTTATTTTCAACTTTAAATTTCAAAATCAACGTGTATAAATGGTTATTTCACATATAGAAATAATCGAACAAAACCTTTTATAATCTACTTTAATTCTTACATTTCATTTAAAGAGAGTGTATGATATAAATGAATATATAATAATTTAGTTACAAAACGTGGATATTTGTAAAATAGAATTTGTAGAATTCGTTTTAACTTGTGGTTATAGTACAAGAAGTGTATTTAAATATTTAATTTACTAAAAACAAATCATTGTATCTATTTTAGTAATAATTTAAGAACTAATTGTGTAAGTAATGTTAATAAGTAATCGACGTTGAATTAATGTATTACAATATTATATTCATAACATTTATAAACTTAAGTAAAAACACACACTTATAAGTACAATATCTTACTCGCATTAAGTATGTATAAGACATAATTATATTATTTAACGAAAATAAATGGATCGRAAACTAAAAATATGAAGGCACGATAAAAAAATGTTTTGTAATAATGTTTCCKAGTACATGACGATACGTATGATATTTCTCTGACTTAACAATTGATATACAATATGCATGTATACGTATATAAATATTATAATTACCATACGATAAAAAATAATAATTTATAATGCTCTATTTGAATATAATTTTGAATTTAATTTGATTATTACACTTACTATAAAGTGATATTATGTAATGGAAGTTTATAAGCACTTACCGAGAAGTGTGACTGAAAATGATACCAAAAATGACAGAAACCAGACAACTGCGATTTTAAAACACACCAATTTCATGGTGGAATAGTGATGTCTGGTCCTAAGTGGATGTCTTATGCCCAGGTATCTTCCCAGTGATATGCAACACATGTGCATAATGCTGGAACTGCACGCAAGCACGTCGCACGTGACGTACACGTTGCACCAAGCTACACCCAGAGGCCATTCACCTGAAAACACAGAACACACATAAATCAAATTTTTATCGCTGTCGTCGTTTGGTCATGTTTGTCTATCCAAAGCAGTCCACTGCAGTGCACACAAACTGCAGTCATCTGGTGTTTATCGGAAAAAAAAACATGATTTGTAAGCCAATGGCGTTTATACAATATTTTATGCGGACATATGTTATATTACTACCGGGCTTGTGAAGTACAACGGTGTTAGGGTTCAAGGGGTAGAATGACATCCATTATGATAATATTAAATGCACCTGAAGCTTTCACCATAACACCCTCACACTTGATGAACGCCATTGATCTAAATAAATCCCTCCGTAGAAATGGGATTCTGTGACGAATGTGTAGTTTCGGAAGTGTTGATATCGAATATTTTGTATACATTATTATGTTTTTTTTTTTTTTTTTTTTGTGATAAACAATTATTTAAATGTATCTCATATTTTATTAGCTTCTGAATTTCGAACATTGTCAAAATACGTACAAACCATAAAAATTTGCAAATTATTTTCAATTAGAATTTAAATTAAAAATTATCATTTTAAATATAAGATTTTAAATTAATGTAATAAGATATTTTTTAAGAGTTAGGTCATCTTTATAAAAAAAAAACTACTAAAAATTCAAATTAAATTATTATGAATATTTTATGTTTAAATGATTCCTATTTTGTTGAAATTCGAAAACGAATAACTATAGATACTTGATACATACACCAAATATTTGTTTTATTTTTTCCTATACTTTCAAATTTTTTGGCTTGTTTTGAGTAGTTCACTGAAGTTTTAAATTATTTTAGTTTTTTTTTTCTGTAAATATTAATTATATGTTCCTAAAATCTTGAAAAATTAATACAATGTTCCGAGTTCTTAATTCAAGTTTATTTTGTAAGATAAAAATCTAAATAAATCATTAACACAGATTTCTATATTATAGTTATTTTAAGATCAAATTTTTAGCAAAATAGCATGCTAAATAACCAAGAATAACGACTTTAGTTACATTGTTGTAAATTAAAAATATAATTCGTAGGTACTTGAAACTTTTATGTATAATGCTGTATACAAATATGATAATATGCAAATAATATTAATTCAACCTTCTACTTTAGAAGAAATAATGACAATATAGTGTTAATATTAAATATTCTAGGCCACACAGAATTGATTTACTTAAACAATTATATTATATCATTGAATTCAAATTTAACACCATCCATTACAGTAAACCACCTGTTATCTACTGTACAGCAGAGCATCTCTCACGTTACCCATTTTTAATATCATATTTCCTGCAGAATGTCAGCATAACTTTTTTTGGATATTGTATAAAAATCGAAATTTGTACCTGAAGTTAACTATTCAAAAGTATTTGTTTGAAATTTAGTACATTAACATATTTTGTAACACTAAAACACTCATATAAAATTTAAATACTTCTAAAAAATTGAAATACTAGATACCTATACTCAGTTTTCGAATTTCTACGAAATATTTTGTAAATAATTAGAAGTATATTCTGCTTCTGAATATGAAATTAAAAATGTGTGTCATCTTAAAAAAAGTAAAACACTAATGATTACGATAGTAAATAATAAAATACATAATATATATTTTTTAAATTATATTTTATTGTGTCTTCAAATAAAAACCCCATATTATAGTTCAGCGTCAATCCATCAATCTGCTGTATATTATACGATAAACACGAGAACCATCATATTATATTATATAAATTATTAAATAATTTATAATATTATATTGTTATTCAATATGTCAATAATATTGAGTTACAAGTGTTACACGCGTGTACAATTATAACGCTTCATCATTGTAAATATTTTTTCTATTGTAAAAGTTTAATTTGTTAACATACGCATTTTCGATATTCTATAGGGGTTATGTTTCACTACTATACAATGGATACGTTATCGTTTTAAATTTTTGTGTAATAAATAAATGTATTCAGTTTCAGGCAGATAATAAACGTTCGAAAAATAATCTGTGTAAGTTAAAACAAAAATAAGAAAAAGTTTACTATGCACTCTTGGAATTAAACATCGACAGTAAAATAATTGTACGGTAACTCGTGATGACATGATTGTTAAATTTTTAGTTTTTATAATAAAAATGTAATAAAAGCTTTTTTAAACTAAACTCTTAAGTAATTTAAAAACTTTTTCAAACAAATACTAATATCAAAATAATAACAACAAATAGTAATATTGAGTACAAAAAAAATAAATATAAAATAGCTACACGGAAAAATAAAATTTTTAAGTGTATAAAAAGGGGAGGATATGGATAATCATTCCTATTCTTCAATAGCTATTATCAATTTTACTTCATCATGAGTAGGTCACAGTAAAATATATGTTAAAACTTAAATTAATTCAATGAAAAAATTATCATTGCATACATAACACGATTATAAGTGAAGAAATAACTCAGTCAGACTATATTTTTAATTATATTTTATGATACTGCTATAATTTATACTAATTCTATAATAATTCATTTTGTTATAAGTAATACGTCAGACTAAATTATTTTTTTGCCAAAACTATTGCATTTATTTTAATGTTTATTAATATAATATATATTTTTTTA